TTAATGTTTACACTCCAATGTAATTAATTCAGTTTTAGTAGAACATTGTTTACAATATTTTGTAGGTATATTAAAGATTAATGGTTCAGGGATCAAATAAAAATATTTTTAACTAGTTGTAACTTTTAAGTCAATGAAATCTTTATTATCTCTACCATAAATTACATTATCAAATGAAATTCTCATTTTTAATAATGCAGCTATTTTCTAATATGATATTTCCTATCCTTATAATAATCTATTTTTTTAACAAAATTCAATTAATAATTATTGAGCAATTTCATTCTTCTAGTCTAATTAATATAGTTTTTTAAAGAATATCTCTATAGGATTCATTAGATCTTTGGTTTTTTGGATCAAATTTACAATCTCTTAATATTTTGATTGATTCTGTGAGTAAGTAATAAGTTCTATTAAATCTTAGAGAAATTTTGGTTATTTTCTATTTAAAGCAAAATGTATCAAAGAACATAATATAGCTGCATTTTTATTAAATCCCATGAATTGTAAATACTTGTAATCTTTTAGAGATACATCATTTCTCCTATCTTCTTCTGTTATAGGCCATATTTAGAATAATTATAAATCATAAGACATTTGTATTATAATAATTTTATTGTTTATAGAATTAGATTAATTTTAGAAGATAGTTTAATTTTATATTTGAAAACAAAATAGAAGCATAATCAATCTTGCTTTCCGTCTTTTTCATTTTAAGAGAGTGGTAAATATAATGATTTTATTTCTTTTATTTTTTAAATAGAATACAAAATAGATCCTAAATAACTTATAATAATTCCAGCAAGAATTTAAAAGTCATACTCTTCTTTCAAAAAGAAGAAGGAGTAGGAAGTAATCATAATATCCTTAATGTTGTGAGTGATAGCAATAGCAATGGGGGAATTATACATATTACACAAATTGGTTGAATAACACAACATAAATCCCATTAATGATACTAAAGTGAATGCTATGAGGAATTATTCACTCATATATGGTGGACTCATAAATTCATGTAATTCTTATGTTGCATATGCACCAATAAATAGAAATGGAATTTAATTACAAGAATTCTAGAAGAGTAATTCAAGAGGATCTATTTATTTTTCATAATTCAATTATTTTGATTTATGTAATGCAAGAGCATTGAATACATTATTTAAAATAATAAGTCCATATCCTAAATAGTTCTCATCTAAATGTTCCTAACCTTAATTAATCTAAACTATATATTGTACCAGCAATTATAGCACCTAATGTAATGAAGATAACAGACATAAAATTAGAAATCTTCCAACTCTTTTGCATCATAAATACAAATAAAATCAGAGTCCTTCTTAATGTCATATACATTGAGATGTTCATTATTTGTAATCCTTTCATTCCAGAGAATGTTTATAAGGAATAAATGAATGAATATATTAATGTATCTTTTGATGTATGATTTCTCTTTCCCATAAACAAGCATATTATAGCTGTAAGAACATTCTCATACAATAATAACTCTAAATAAATAAAGCATTGTTACCATGAATGTCATCCTAAATTGAAACTTAATCCATAAGTATTTCACACTTAGAGAAAAACAAAATGAGCATCCACCATATAATATACAATAAAATAAACCTAATATATGTTTCATATTATTAATAATGAGAAACTTATATATATATATTATTAGATTTACAATTAAATTAATAAGACTATTATCAACTAAAGAAAAAACATTCTCTTGAAATTAACTAAGTACTTTATTAATTGAGTATATGGGAAAAATAAATTTATAAAGAAGTATAATTTATAAGATTAAATGGAAATTGAATTACAGAAATGAATCAATATATAAAATATATTCATTTTTAAAACCATCTCTGTAAACAACTAGTCTTTAGATAATTAATGGATTACTACTAAAAATATAATTAAAATTCTTAAAATTCTTTCCATAAAACATTAAGTCTTTGATTTAGGCAATTCAATTCATATTTTATTAGAAAAGACGATTACAATTAATGAATTTCAAATATATTAATTTACAAAAGTCTTTTAAGATATAAAATATCAAGTAATTTTTATTATTAAACAATTACATCCATAGATATGAATTAATATTTTAAATACTATAATACAATTAAATATCTCTTATAACTCTTTTTAAATTAACAAATAGACAATATATTAATATTGAATGAATACATATTTATTGAATTCTAAATATAATATAATTAATGTCTTATTTTGATGAACTCAAACTTTTATTTAACTAAGAAACCTAATAAATACCTGAACTGAGTCGATTTGAAATAAAAGGTATTTTAGGCAAAGGAGCATTTGCTACAGTTTTCTCTGCTCTAGATAAAGTCCTTAAGATTTAAGTAGCAATCAAAATGGTAGACAAGAAACTTTTCAAAAATAAGGAACAACAAGACATCATACGACAAGAAGCAATGATGCTTAAAACACTTGAACATAATAACATTGTCAAAATCTTAGGAGTAAGAATTTTGATCTTTAACATAACTTAAGTTTTTCGAGACTTCTTTGAAATTTTTTATTGTAATGAACTAAATAGATGGAGTCACTTTGGAAACTCACATAAGTAATATCAAATCAACTGAAGTGGTTTCTATTACAATATAAATTCTTAAGGCATTGAGTTACTTACATCAAAGAAACATTGTACACAGAGATATCAAACCTGAAAATATTTTAATAAGTTATTCAAATTCAGAATTAAAAGTTACTTTAATAGATTTTGGTTTATCAGCATCTCTAAATAGAATTTAAAATTCAATGAATGGATTGATGTATCAAAATTGTGGAACACTCTTATATTAAGCTCCTGAATTAATTAAAAAAGCTAATTACACTAGAGTATTTTTATTCGTATTACATATTTAGTCAGTAGACATTTGGGCTTTAGGCATTGTTGTTTATCAGATGTTAAATTAAGGTTAACATCCATTTTATGAATGTAATGATACAAAAACTATTTATGAGAATAAAATCAAAAATTCATCACTTAACCTTTAGTTTAATCATAATAAAGATATTAACAATTTTTTAAAAAGAACTATTGCTTATTTACCTGAACATAGATTAACAGCTGATTAATGTTTAGAACATCCATGGATTACAGGCAGAGGTGATATTTCAGTTCCTATTACATTGAATGAAATCATTTAATGTCAAGTAGACAAGGAACAAAATATTACAAAATATATAAAAGTAATTTTGTTTCTAAAATACTTGATTTTATCATCTTCCTGTTATAGAACACCCTATAGAATTGAAGCCAATAAGCTTATTTAAACAGGGTCTCTGACAGAACATATGTCTGATCTATCAACTGCTACTATTAATTTTAAAATACGTCCATTATATATAAAATCATAGACTAGATTAGATAAGGATGAAAAAAATGATAGTTTAAGTAATAGTAGCAGAAATACAAGTGACATGTTTCCAGACACAATAGCTTAGGTTAATACACCTGATAATAAAAAAATGTTTAGAAAAAGTACTTCAATGAATCCTTAAGAAATTATGATTAAACAATTAAATTAAACTCAAAAGAAATTAGTTAATTTTCCTAATAAAGAAACTAGTCCAGCAATTAAAACAAGAATACTTTAAAATCCTTAAGGTACTATTAGTTCAAGATTACCTCATAATGATAGTTGGAAGAAATTACAAAATACTAATTAAAATAGTAGATTAAGAATTACATAGAGACCAAATTACTAAAGGAATCCTACATAATTGTGAAATTATTTTAAATTGAAAAAAAATTAATAATTTAACCACTTATATTTATGATTTCAAATTTTAAAGTAGATAATATACATAAAAATTATTGAATATTTATGTATCTTACCTTATGAATTTTTAAATAATATATTACACAAATTTTAGTATTCTGTTTATCTAATTAAAAATACTTTTATGATTCACTTAAATAAGTAAGTTTATTAAAGAATAATAGACTTTTATAAATTGAATAATATATAATTTTATTTAAATGATGATGACTAATCATGGATCTGCTTATATTTTAGTATCATTTTAATTAGCTTATGTATTGCCTTCAAGTTCAATATCTGGATAAATCAATAATTCAAAGTCTTATTCTTTAAATTATTATATTGGTATTATATGATTATTATCTTATATTTTTAATTGATTTTGTATTAATTTGGATTCAGTTTAAGAAATAGTTTAATCATCATTACTTTTAACAATTGGAGGATTAGTATTATTTGGAAGCTAAGTAAAAATGATAATATACAATTGAATTTAATTTATATTAATAATCTTGATTGATACTACAATCTAATTTATTAATATTTTACTATTCTTCTTTAGCACTATCAGCATATTATAATTATAATGGAATTCCATAATGGTGAATTTATTGTATTATTTTGGAAGGTAATATATTCTATATCAAAAATTATAATCTAGAGATTTCATATATTTAATTAGAGATAGTTAATTTGATTTCACTAATTTGGGATAATTTTTAATATTAATGTTTAAAGGTTTATAAATCCAATTACCTTCCATTTTTTTCAACTTTTTTAATATATCCAAATATATTCTTTGTGATTTTAACATTTTTAAATTCAGGATAATACATTTATATTACATGATTAATTGCTTCAAATTCTAATTAACTTTGATTCAATATAATTACTAAATATGATAATAACAATAATGTAGATGCAATAGATCCTGCTTCTGCTAATATTTCACTTATTTTAGTATAGACAACTGATATTTCAATTTAAATATTATCTATTTTATATAGAAATGCCATATAAACATTATATCCAAATAATCCATTATAATATTCTAAATCTAGAGTGGCACTAACTACACGATATTCATTAATGTACATATAATCATTAGTGGATTCAAATAGAAAACCTACATCTACTTATGTTTAAGTAATTTAAATATAAGTTTATGTTTAGTATACTTTACTAATTTAGAAGGGAATGATTTATTCTCTTCCAATTATTTCGAGATTTTCAGTTTATGTATTATATTCTTTGGCATAATATTTAACAACAAGAGCATTGGTCGGTTAATTTGTAAATTATTTAATAACAGTTTCATTAGCACATGCCTACCCTTCTTATAGAAAGCTTTAAAGACAAGCTCCGAATGTAAGCATAACTTCATATTCAGGATTTGTTTCATCTCTTGTCTCACTAATTGATAAGGATAGATTAGAGAAACTGATGATGTGAAAAGTATCTTCTTTGGTAGTAATTTGATAGAATGGAACAAGAGGTTTATCTAAGGGAATTCCATTCTTGAAAACATATAAGAGAGGCTGAAGAATAAGTGCATCTGGATTAAATGGATCAATCATAGAATAACCAAATTTCCTTAATTAAACATCAACGAATTTTTCATTGAGTTAAAAATACTAATTGTTCTCAACTTTTGATGATGTAGTTATTTTAGGTAGGATTTATCCTGTTCTCCATTGAATTATTATATAGAGTAAATATGCGAAACTCAATCCATATAATAAAATAGACATGACTCCTCCCCAACAAGTTTTATATTGAGAGGTTGTGTATTTGATACTAGGTTAGAATGCCACTCCAAATTGATCTATATTTTTGAGTAATTTAATCATAAAGTATAATAAAATATCATGTAATTTTATTGATTTCAAAGAATTATGGTATCAATTATACATCAGTTTTATCTTTCTTACAAATTAGTAATTCAAAATCTTAATCAATGAGTTCATATGAACTATAAATATCTGATTTGAATTATTAAAATGTATCAGGTTTATGATTATCACTAGGTAATATAGTATTATGAGAATGATCCTATAATATAGTTTATTATCTTTATTGATGTTATTATTATTAAGTAATTTCAACTTTACTATCATTTGATGGCGCCTAAATTATATTATATTAACTTACTACTCTAGAATCCTTAAACATATCTACATCTTAATTATCAATATCATTATCTTCTTTAGTATTTTCAATAAAATTGTTTTCTTTGATTCCAATCTAATGACAATATATAAAATTGGATCTACTTATAATAGATTATAAAATAAATTAGATTCTTGAGATTTCATATATTTAATTAGTTATTGTTAATTTCATTTATGCTACTGCTTTTAATTTCCCATAGTGTTAATTAAATTTATCAATATTTAAATTTCGACCCAATAATTCAATTCTAATAATTTTACCATACCAATTCTTTTGATATTTTAAATATTTAAGATTTGGATAAAACATTTAAATCACTTATGAAATAGCTTCACTTTCTAAAAAGTATTAATTAGTCATTATTACAAATGCTGAAGTCAATAATAGAATAGAAACAATTGATCCTGTATCAGCTAATACTTCATTTACTTTAGGATATTGTATATATTAAATAGATTTTATACCATTCAATTAATAATTATTGATAAAATAAGTAGTAGAATTAATAACACCAGAAAAAAACTTACTATTCACTTATTAACCAATTGTAGAGATATCTAAAATAAAATCTCTTTAATAAGTATTTTCAAATAACAATCCATTATCTATTATAGTTTCTTACATTTTTAAAGTACTTGTTGAAAAATAAACAGAACTTGGATCCAAAGCCACAATTACTTCAGATCCAAATGTATTAATCTTTTCTTATTGAGCATTAAATTATTTTATAAAAGTAGTGAATAAAAGTGTATTAACTGATTAATTGAAAAAGCTTTTTCTAGTTGTTGTATTAGCACATTTTAATTATGTATTATTTATTAAAAGTTGAGGAACACAATCAATCAATATAATCATGTACTCTAATTCTGGTGATTCAATTGTTCTATCTTTACTTATAGCTAGTGTAATGTTATCAAAATATATTGTTACAAATTCATCATTAGTTGTATTATTTATTATTGGAATACTAGGAGGAGTAATTAATTAACCATTAACATATTAAAATATTAATGGAAGCATAATTATATTCTAAGGATTAAATGGATCTATATTTGTATCATTCATTTTTCTCATTCTAATTGAAAATAGAGGTTCATCAAATTAAATTTATTAATTTTCTATTACTTCACTTGATATTGTTATTTTTGGTAACATACCACCTTCTTTCCATATAACAAATTAATAAATGAAATATCCTAAACTTATTCCATAAAGTAATATAGATAATATTCCACCTAAAACTGTTTTATATTCACTATCTGATGTTATACTAGGTTTGAATACAACACCAAATTGATCAAGATCTCTAAGAAATTTCTTTATAATCTCACTTAATTTAGTCATTATAATTAATAATTATAAAATAGACTTAAAAATTCTGTTTATCTTAAATATAATCTTTAACTAATATATTTGTTAACTAAAATATAAAATAGAAATAATGAAAATCAATTTTATATAAACAATAATTAATAAATAAATACAAATCTATATTCAAGGTTATGTTAATCTATTTTTTTATATTTTTGTATAACTAGAATTTTTTTTAGAACCAAAATAATATTGTGGTGTATTCAAATATGCACTTTAATTTTAAGAAGATATAGAATTTATATCTATTGTTTCATTTTTTCTTAATATGGTTATCTATCTTGGTTTAATGTGTACAAATGAATAAAAATTATATTCAGGAGTTTTCTAATATGTTGGTGAATTTTAATAACTTGATCTTAATGATTCTACTTTTTCAAGACTATCTAAATTTATTCCTATTTATCCATCTTATAAAATAGATGGTCTGATAAATCTCTTCATTTTTAATACCAATTATAATTTCTATTTCAAAATCTTCATTCTTATCTTCTTAGGTTCACAAACACCTTTATATATCAAATCTTATAAAGCTTAATTTTTTCTTTAACGTGAATGTCCTAAATTCTAAGATAATTGTATCTTTAATGATGATACTTATCTTTTCACTTTATTTCTCACAAATTCTGATATTGCATTTTATTAAGTCAAAGGATTTGTTCTATCATAATCAGTTGGTAATTTTAAATATACATCTTCATATCTAACTAAATCTTCTTCTTCATTAAGATCTTTAAATAACATTCTATGAATTCTATAAGTAGGTAATATAATTTCTATTCCTGATAAAATAATAGAAGCTAAATTTAATGCTTAACAAAGTTTTCCAGAATTAAATACAAAATCAAGCCAAAATTACATTGTTGAAAATAAAATTGGACTCAAATCAATTAAATATAACATTTCTGTATCTAGATGACTACTTTAAAAAGGAGGTTTAGAATTTCTTCTTAATAATAGATACTTCTCAATCCAATAATAACTCACTAATCCTACTTATCCAAATAATATAGATATTGGTATTAATGGAGCGAAAAAAAAAGTTAACCAAGTTGTTTTACAAAGATATGAATATTGATCATAAAATTAAACTTAAGGACCTTCAAATAATTTATTTGCTTAATATTAATCAAGATCTTTGTTTCTCTCAATTCTAAATTATCTAATTTTCTTAAATAAATAAAGAGGATTAAAATACAAAGATAAAGGTATGAGAATTGCATTTGTACCTGAAACATATAAAATATCATCAGCTATTCCTCCCTATTATTAAATAGCTAAATTGCTTAATTAATTTGGTTCATATTTCACTTATGAATTGTATGAACCTATAATATTTATTATCATCAAAAGTAAACAAGAATTTACAAATTGTACATAACTTAATTTCTATGCTATAGATGTATCTTAATAAGTTTTTGTTACATGTCTCTCTTAATTAGCCAAAAGTGTAATAAAATAATATATTAGACCTTCTACAATTGCAATAATTAATGATTTTGAGAATGATACCATTGTTGTTATTAATAATTAATTATTATCTGATTATAAAAAACTATTCTATATTTATTTAATATTATTACTTAAAATACATTTAAACCATATAATGTACAAAGAGATAAACCAAGTAAAAACAAAATCACAAACCAACTTATTATTTTTCTTTTTAATTATGTATTTTAATCAATACCACAATTCTCCCAAAATACATCATCAGGTTCAGGTGCTCTATTTATATAAATTAATTCTCCTTTAAAATAAAATCCTTTACTATCTTTCTTTTTTATCAATGACTTTATTGCAATCATTAAGGCTTCCCAATATGATAATTTAGTTTACTCCAATAGATTTTTTAATTCTATATAAAATTAATCTAAATTCTTACATTTCTTTGTTTAAAATGTAATAAATGCAATAGGTGTTGTCTATCTATAACATCCATTTTCAATTTCATATTCAATTATCTATTAAAGTTGAGAAATTTCTTTAATTTAATTAATAATCTTTTCTCTATTTTTTGTATTACTGTTTTCTAATTGTTTCTCTAATTTTAGTTTTTCTCTACCCTTATCAATAAATTATGATATATCATAAGCTATATTAATTTTCACAACTTCATAATTATTATTTGGATCAAATTCCTTACAATATTCTTCTATAGCATGTTTCAATTCCTTCTCATCATAGTTATTTTTTGGTAAATGATTTAATATAGCTGTAAAATCAGAAGGTGACAATAATTCCTTATCTATTGCAAACTCTACTCGTTTTTATTTTTCCCTTATTAAAACCATAGATATTTTCATAATGATAACTGAACATAGAAGAATAGAGGATTAAATTATTTTATAATAATTATCTGCTTGCTTATTAATGAATGACAATTAAGACAATTGAGAATTAAGACAAATCTTTGTATAATGATGGCAAATCTATTAACAATCTTTAAAGATTTCAACAAAATGATTGAAATCATCATGTTTCAATGGACAATTCTATTCACAACCCTTTTTTTACCATAAAACATATGCATAATTATTCTCTGAAATACAATCATTACCTAAAATATTCAAAATTATATTTGGAATCATAAAGCATGCCAACATTAAAAAGTACATCATAATTACCAATATCATTTGATTAAAATATAATGGAACTCCTTATCCCAAGAAGGCTAAATCTAAAATCTTTATTGATAATGGCAAAGATATCTTTGAAACACTGAGTCCACAACATGGACAATATTCAGAATTCTCGAAACTATAACCGCAACTAGTGGCTAACTAAAATCTTATATATTGTAACCTTATGTTTCAATGCATATTCCTTTATAGGTGGTTTTTAGAACAAATCAAATTTTAATGTGTCACCCAAAAATTTAGGATATTCCATTTTATTATTTTTATATAAATGTTTAAGTTTATTGAATACTACATTAGATATTCGATTATTATTAAATCAATATTCTATTATATTAATTAATTAATTATAAATCATTACCAAATTACAAATTTCCTATCTAATCCTGTAGTAATCATAGTCTTTATATCATCTGTTATACAAACTGAAGTATGCTAAAATATATATTTTTATATATATATTACTTTTGTATCCTATATCTCATAAACAGAATGCAAACTCCAATCTCTAGAATTCCAAAATTTAATATTTCCATCATAAGAAGCACTAATTAAGAATTTACTATAAATTGGTTAAAATTTTAAATCACTTACTAATTTAATATGTGCAGGTATCTTTTCTATTACATTTCTTCTTCTAATATCCCAAACCCTTATGAAATTATCATCTCCTCCAGTTGCAATATGATAACCATTCATACTAAAATCACTAGCTAATATTCCTTTAACATGACCAACAAATGGTAAAATACCTTTACCTATTCTCAAATCCCATGCCATTCCAAATCCTCCTAAATCTCCTGTAAATAATAATGAACCATCTGGATGTAAAGTTCCTGAATATATTGCTCTAGAATGCCCAGTTTATACCATTAATTCAGTTTAAGTTTCAATATCCCATAATCTCCATGTCTTATCAAAACCCATACTTATCAATCTTTTTCCATCTTAATGAAATATTACTTTATTTATTCTGTCTTCATGGCCTTTCAATACAATTGATTTTTATAACATTCCCAAATTCTCTACTTCTACTTAATCCAAATCTAATGTCCATAATCTAATTGATAAATCAGCTGATGCAGTTGCAACATTAGCAAAAGATTAAGAAGATAATGTTAATAATGATTAAGGATGAAATGCAATAGAATGACATTTTGTTAAATGTCCCAAAAAACTTGACTTTAATGATGCATTTTCAATATCCCATAATTTACATTCTCCAGATCCACCAGCAGTTGCAAGATATTTTTAATTTGGACTAATAGTTGATCTAGATATTCCTGAAGAATCACCAAATTAAGACATTTATATTGCAAAATGATTTACTTTTTACATTTCATCTAATACTTCTTAATCTTCTAATAATGCATCAACAGTTAATCTTCTTAATCTTTATTTCTCAACTCTTAGAGCTGCATTATGAAGTGATAACTTAGCTATTTCTATTCTAGCAGCTCTTAATTATTCTATTCCTTCATATAAGAAATATTCATTCTCTAAATTACCCATATTATGATTATTCTATTGTTTAAAAAATTAAGGTAATCTACCATATTACATTAAATGTTCTGTTAACAATGTTCGTAAACGCTATCTTCTATCAACAGCACTTTCACCAAAATATGTTACTGGTTACCCTAATTATCGTAATTATGATTTGATTTCACTTTCTTAAGTGGGTACCATCAATTTACGTGCTTCTGCCATTAGTTTTTATTTTCTTTCATTTTCTTCCTATTGCTTTTATTATCTATCAACATTTTCAGTTGTATAGGATATAAATGGTAATGATTCCTACTATTAAGGTATAATAGTAGGTGCTCTAGTACTCAATTAAGATATTTAACTTAAGTTATCAGTGACTCTTTGTCTTTCTTATTATTATAAATTCATAGTTTAAATTGAAAAACAAAATTTCTTAAAAATATTAATAAAAATAGAAAACTCGATTGCTTTGAATTTCTAATAAGATTATTTCTTTTTATAATTATAATTTAATATTTATTTTTGACTATCCAATTATAGACTAAATATCATCAATCTTCTAATTCTCTACTTTCTTAATTTGTTTTAATATTAATTATTTTGTGATTCTCTTATATTTATTATCAACTATTTATGACTCAGTTATGATACTAAGTTTTATTAGAAGAAATTGCTAATATTAAATAGTTGGATAATCTATTTTCATTAAATTTTATCATTTCAATTAATAGAAAGAACAATAATAATTGATATCAAATTATTATAAGGAAATTTGATAAATTTATATAATTTTTACAAATGGCATCAAATAGATTATTATGAATATTGACGAAGAAATATAAAAGGTTTATTCTTTACTTAAGAATTCAGCTGAAACTCTAGAAGATGTATTACATAAATCATTTGAAATACCAGTTGACAATTGGTCAAAAGAGAAACCTGCATTATTATTTCCTGATTCTGGAGATGCTTTATAAGATTTATTAGAGTTAATGAGCAGAATTGATAAAAACTTAGATTAAGTTCGTGTGAACATAAGATAATTTGAATTAAACAAATTCTAAGTAATAAAAGAGGAAGAATTTGATCCACGCTATTCCTAACCTCTTATTGATTATGAGATTGTACAGAATGCCGAATAGACATAAATGAATAGAATGAAATCGAATGTGAATAGATTACAACGCCAAATTTAGGCCTATTAATAAAAATATTAATAATGAATTAATTAGGCGTTCTTCTTCTACTTGATTCACCAGAGAATTTATAATTCGGAATTGATAATTCTCAATGGATAGTCGGAAAGAAATTCAAAGGAATTTAAGGTATACCCTTTGGAACCCATTATGTTCATTATTCATTAAAGGAAGAAGGCTATTAATTTAAATAAGGATTCTTCTTCATTGTTTCACCAGAAAACAAATACTTGGTAAAGTAATGGAATAGTGAATTACAAGAATTTCTTACTTTCAAAGATTGTGCACCATACATTCATACATTAGAAATGCATGACTTTGATTTGTATTTAGGAGTTTATCCTATGGATAAATATGAAATATGGAAATTATGTGTGAATATGATTAATAGAAAGGTTTTAGATAAATTGGACCCTATAAAAAATATCTGTGTTGAAGAATACAATGATAAAGACATAGGAAATAATACTCCTTTACATACTACAATCTATTATACTGATATACCTAAATTAAAGAATCCAAGTAAATCTCAGGGATAATAATTGACTGCCTTAAATTTTGATAAATCAACAATAGTAGAAGAATTATTGAAATCAGAATATCATAATGATTATACTTTATTTTTAGGAGAAATCTAATATGCATTTGTTAAATTTTTATTGGGGGAACATTTTGAATCATTTGAATAATGGAAATAATTATTAATTTTAATAACATCATGTGAAAGATTGATAGAAGAATAAACTAATATGTTTATTGACTTCATACCTATATTTTATCATTAATTACAATAAATGCCAAATGATTTTTTTGTTGATCCCATTAGTTCAAGTAATTTCATATAATCATGTATTAAAAATATGATCGAATTATCATAAAATGATAATCCAACTATCATTAGATAAAAAGTATTTTAATATAATAATATTTAGTTAATACAAAGATGCAATAAATTAAAAGAATTAATTAAAATAAAATTTGTATAAAATGCTGTTTAAATAGATGATGAAGATGAACCAGTTGTAGTTGAAGACTTCAATTTTATTTAACTATGATATAGATAATTATAAATATAATCAAGATTATTGTTAAATTTCATGTTGCATGTCATGTCCCTCACTTTAAAGAGTCTTACTCTTTTATAATCGTGTTGGTTAGATGATAGAAAGCTTCTTCTTTTCTTCCTGCACAATTGACTTGACTCTTGATCCTCTTCTCTTTTCATCTATCTTTAAGAACCTATCAACTCTTTTGAATTACACCCAAGCCTTTCCATCCATCAATTCGTCTAACTTTATTTAATAATCTAATTTTTACTTCCATATTTATTTCTTCCTCTGAATACCCATTTTCTTTTACTATCTCCCAAAATGCCATCCACTCTTCCTCTGTTATATCCCCACTCTTATCAAAATCCACTGCATCAAATAAGGCTTCTGTGTTTAATTTTGCAAAGTTGGATTTCCTATATAAGTTATTATAATGGTTACCAAAATTACTCCGTTCCTTCTTTATCTATAGTTCCATTCCCTTTGATATCAAGTTTTTTAAATATTTCGCTTGCTTTTTCTCGAAGTCTTTAGCTTAAAGGCTCGTGAATTTTTGCTGTAGTGCAACCCATTTTGATTAATTTATATGAATAAATGGAAAAATCAATTTGTATAGAAAAGAAAAAATTGATATCATATTAATATACAAAGTGAATTACCATTTAAAATTTCAAACTTAATAGTGATATTTTAAATTGAATGGCATCAATAACTTACCATGATGGAGAAATCAATATTATATAATAGATCATATTGTTGAATTCATATATCCACTAATTATATCTTATTCTCAGAATTTATTAATATAATATTTAAGTTTCTACCACATTTCTAATCATCAATTCCATTCAAAAAAATATAGTTGAAATTTTTGATGTTAATTAAATAGTTAGAATTTTAATGTCGTAAGACATAAATTTCAGTTATTTAGATTTTTTAGAATTTAATTTATCAATTTTATTTACTTTCAAATGGATGAATTTAATCTATAGTATAAACACATATATTAATAACCGAAATTTTTAGAATACATTATTCACTAAATTCATGGAAGGTAATGAACAACTCTTTATATGCAAATATTTTAGTTTTGACTTAGTATATGATTAAATTATAATGATTTTGATTATTTTAGAATTATATTTAAAAAAAAACTTATAAAACAATCTTAAAATTTATAATTTATTTATAAAAAATTTTTCATTTATTTTATTTTTCTATTTGATGTCGATTGATTAAATTTTTTAAAATTTTCATTTCATTTTCTAACATTAGAAGATGAAATAACAATGGATCCACTTTGAAAAAAGGAATTCTTTCAAAACCCTCATCTTATTTATCATCTATTCTATAATTAAAATATTTATTCAAATAAAAATTAATTTAAATATCTTTTGAACTAAATTTCAGAAGTTATAATTTTCTTGGATATTAATTGATATTTTGCTAAAACTAGAAGATCTAGTTTAAATTTTCAGAGTCCAAAACTTTAGTAAACAATTTTTTTAGAATTATATATAAATCCTATGATTGACACAATGAATACTAAATAACTCCTTCAATTGAACGATTGATATATTTTTTTATATCTACTCCTAAAGATACTATTTTTATTTGCTTTTATTAAGCCAAATTAATTTTTTATGAAAGTTCTTGGAATTGATAATTATAAAAAGAGTGATTAATAAATATCAAAAATTTTTTGTAATGGATAAATTTCTCAAATTAATCTAAGATATATTAGAATACTTTAACATTACTATTTGTCGATACTTAATCAAAATTATCAATTAGGTGTTAAGTTAATAATGAATATTCAGAATCCGTCCATGTAGTAGAGAAATTTGACTTTATGATAATTAGAGCATTATTTAAAATTGCCAAATTACAAATTATCTAACATTCCTTACATATTGCAATCAATTAATATAAAAAGGGTAATACAATTTCTAATAGTATTGCCTTTGACATTGAACTTAAATCTAAAACAACCTCAAAAAGATAAAGAGACTTTCCACCTCTATTTTTTCTCCTCAATATATCCCTAGCAGTTCCATTAGTACAAAAAAATTTGATGATACCTTTTATATCTATAGTAGTTCCTTTTGATGATAAAGAATATTTTGTATATTTATTAATCTCTAGTAATCCTCTTAAACTATTTGCTTCTTTTTAGTCTATCTAATAATCTAATCTAAAAATGTTATTTTTTAATTCCTCTTTTTCTTGATGATTATAAAACATTTATTGTTTTTATACTGATGATTATTGTTAAATTTGAATTAATAATTCGAATATATTATTCGAACTACTAATAATTTGTCCATTTTTAATATCTATTGTGTTAAAATGATTTTGATCTTGAAATTGAATAATCGTATTTAATCCTTCATTTTATAATTCCATTTTACAATTAATTGACATTTCAAATAATTATTTAGTAAATAGTAATACAAAATCATTATTATTTTAAGCTTTTTCTTTTACTAATATAAAATCCTAATTACATTTCCCAATAAGTGCATGTAAAATTTTATCAAGAAGATCAATTGTTAAAGTCTCATCTTTTTGCTTTAAGAATATTGGCTAATTTTATCCAGATAAGATTAAATCATAATTCAAATTAAGAAAAGATAATTGTAATAATAATTATCCAAAATCTTAAAGAAATTATTAATCTACATATTAATCTATGATTATAATTCTAAATGATAATTAATTGATAGATATATAAGGTTTTGTATAGTATCTCCAATATGAGTAAAGATAGTTTTCTGCCATTTAAATTAATTAATTATACTATGTAAATACCCCTCTCTAATTACAATTATCTTCTTTTAAATGTTGATCTATAAGTTGGTCACGAAAGTAGTGATTATCCTTTTCTAAGTTTCTTACTTTAGTAAAATAATAAATGTTGGATTTGAAATAATCATCGAATAAACCATTTACATTATTAAAAAAAATTAATGGAAATTAGTTGAATAATATAATGGGTTTTTTTTAAATATTTTAATTTGTATTTGTATCATTATCAATAGTTCTTATTGCATGTTATTATTATGTTAACTAATATTTATTTGAATTTGTTTATGCTTAATGGGTTTATCCATTATTTGTATTAGATGATATTTAAGTTAACTAAGTATTATTGGAATTTGATTATATTAAAAGGGTTTATCCATTATTTGTATTAGATGATGTTTAAGTTAACTAAGTATTATTAGGATTTGTTTATGTTTAAAGGGTTTATCCATTATTTGTATTAGATGATATTTAAGTTAACTAAGTATTATTGGAATTTGATTATATTAAAAGGGTTTATCCATTATTTGTATTAGATGATGTTTAAGTTAACTAAGTATTATTAGGATTTGTTTATGTTTAAAGGGTTTATCCATTATTTGTATTAGATGATGTTTAAGTTAACTAAGTATTATTAGGATTTGTTTATGTTTAAAGGGTTTATCCATTATTTGTATTAGATGATGTTTAAGTTAACTAAGTATTATTAGGATTTGTTTATGTTTAAAGGGTTTATCCATTATTTGTATTAGATGATGTTTAAGTTAACTAAGTATTATTAGGATTTGTTTATGTTTAAAGGGTTTATCCATTATTTGTATTAGATGATGTTTAAGTTAACTAAGTATTATTAGGATTTGTTTATGTTTAAAGGGTTTATCCATTATTTGTATTAGATGATGTTTAAGTTAACTAAGTATTATTAGGATTTGTTTATGTTTAAAGGGTTTATCCATTATTTGTATTAGATGATGTTTAAGTTAACTAAGTATTATTAGGATTTGTTTATGTTTAAAGGGTTTATCCATTATTTGTATTAGATGATGTTTAAGTTAACTAAGTATTATTAGGATTTGTTTATGTTTAAAGGGTTTATCCATTATTTGTATTAGATGATGTTTAAGTTAACTAAGTATTATTAGGATTTGTTTATGTTTAAAGGGTTTATCCATTATTTGTATTAGATGATGTTTAAGTTAACTAAGTATTATTAGGATTTGTTTATGTTTAAAGGGTTTATCCATTATTTGTATTAGATGATGTTTAAGTTAACTAAGTATTATTAGGATTTGTTTATGTTTAAAGGGTTTATCCATTATTTGTATTAGATGATGTTTAAGTTAACTAAGTATTATTAGGATTTGTTTATGTTTAAAGGGTTTATCCATTATTTGTATTAGATGATGTTTAAGTTAACTAAGTATTATTGGAATTTGATTATATTAAAAGGGTTTATCCATTATTTGTATTAGATGATGTTTAAGTTAACTAAGTATTATTAGGATTTGTTTATGTTTAAAGGGTTTATCCATTATTTGTATTAGATGATGTTTAAGTTAACTAAGTATTATTAGGATTTGTTTATGTTTAAAGGGTTTATCCATTATTTGTATTAGATGATGTTTAAGTTAACTAAGTATTATTAGGATTTGTTTATGTTTAAAGGGTTTATCCATTATTTGTATTAGATGATGTTTAAGTTAACTAAGTATTATTAGGATTTGTTTATGTTTAAAGGGTTTATCCATTATTTGTATTAGATGATGTTTAAGTTAACTAAGTATTATTAGGATTTGTTTATGTTTAAAGGGTTTATCCATTATTTGTATTAGATGATGTTTAAGTTAACTAAGTATTATTAGGATTTGTTTATGTTTAAAGGGTTTATCCATTATTTGTATTAGATGATGTTTAAGTTAACTAAGTATTATTAGGATTTGTTTATGTTTAAAGGGTTTATCCATTATTTGTATTAGATGATGTTTAAGTTAACTAAGTATTATTAGGATTTGTTTATGTTTAAAGGGTTTATCCATTATTTGTATTAGATGATGTTTAAGTTAACTAAGTATTATTAGGATTTGTTTATGTTTAAAGGGTTTATCCATTATTTGTATTAGATGATGTTTAAGTTAACTAAGTATTATTAGGATTTGTTTATGTTTAAAGGGTTTATCCATTATTTGTATTAGATGATGTTTAAGTTAACTAAGTATTATTAGGATTTGTTTATGTTTAAAGGGTTTATCCATTATTTGTATTAGATGATGTTTAAGTTAACTAAGTATTATTAGGATTTGTTTATGTTAAAAGGGTTTATCCATTATTTGTATTAGATGATGTTTATGTTATATAACTATTATATTAATTTAGTTAGGGATCAACCATAAATCTATTGTTGATATTAGATTAATTTTATATAACCTAGTTGCTACTTTAAATTGGTTATTAGATAAGAGATTATGAAAAGTTTTACATATTTGATGTCTAAATCAACCCACCTCTATTTTCATCTATTTATTTTATTTATGAATATCCAATACTGTTGGTAGTTGATGTTTAGGTAAACTTAATGTTATTTTAGTTTTATTTTTGAACTATTGAATCTGCATAATTTTTAAACTTTTATTCAACTTCAACTTTATTGCTTTATTAATTTTGTTATTCTATTAAATTTTTTTGCTAAGTTTTTTCTTCTTATATCTCCGTTATTTTCTACTATTAATTTTCCCTTTTACTCCAATCCTTATCTTTTTTTTAATTAATATTTTCCATTTCATTATGAATTTAATCAATTTATCCAGAAATGTCCAGATTTAATACTCTCAAATAATAATCCTTAAATTACTATTTTTTGTTATAAATTTTTTCTTTTAAACTTTTTTCATCTTTAATTTATTCTCCTTAATCAAAAATACTTAATAATCCCTAAATTTTTTAGATCACCATATCAAAGTTTTCTTAAATTTAACATATATTCCATAAAATTTTTTTTCTTAAACTAAATTATTTGAATATGAAAAATTAAATTTTATATTCGAATATAACTTCAAAATTCTTATCAAATCTTATTTAAATCTCAAATTTTCTGATTTTACAAAATTGAAAAAATATTTATTTATTAATCATATCTGGTAATTTATTTACATTAAATTTCAATAATCCTCTTAATTTTTAATTCTTCATTAATAGTAGATCAAAACATGCTATAAAAAACATGTTATTCAAACTTATTTTAAAATTCAAATTAAAACCTATCCCTTTTTTATATTTTGCTGAAGTTTTTATACATTCTTAAAATAATTTAATCTAAAAATCTCCATCAGCTATAAAGCTTTTATCTTTTTAATCTATGATTATGTCGACCATAATATTAAAGATAAAATTAGGGATATTAATTGTTATTTCCCCTTTACCTAGATATTAATTTTCATTATTATATAATAGACAACAAGACGAAAAACAATCCCCTTATTCTCGAGTTTCTATCATAATAAAAACCTGGCGATACTAAGTAAATTATATATTAGGAAAAGCTAAAATATCAAATTCAATTTTAAATTTCGAAAAATCTAGTTTATCAAATCTTTACAAAAGGCTGAAGAATTTAGAATTACCAAACTTTTCCATTAATTCATTTGGAAGATTATAGTTTTAAGAATTTGAGTCTATTTATCCATTAATAAAAATGATTTGATTAGCTTTGGAAAATATTTAAAAGAATTCTTTTGGAAAAATGGTGCCTAATTTAAAAAATTCTAAAGCAGTTTATAAATTGATATTAACAAAATTAAAGGCCCATGTTTTTGGGATAAAATGGTTATAATAAAATATAATGAGGTCTGCATAACCAGCATAAATCTTAGCATTTAAATTTGCCACAGATGTAATATTATTTTAATGAAATGATAGTTAATTGGTTCCCAAAAAATTGAACTACTCTTATCCAAAAGCTTTTTTGAAAGCTATATCAAACTTTCCTGTCATTAAACCATTCTCGAATTAAACAATGCCATTATATACCATATATCCAAATGTGTGATAAGAATACTTTAATTACAATTCAATTTAAGAAATGCTTGATAATAATTTTCTAAACTGATAAACACTTTAAAAATTTCCCTTTTGAAAATGAATCTGTTTGCTTTCAACAAGAAAATGTGTTTCAAATTAATAAGAGATGTCTAGATCTATATTTTATGGAATAAAAAATAGAATTTATTGAAGTTGCTATTTAAATAACGCAGTACAATTAGCAAAACAACTAAATCCTGTTCTTTTTAATTATCCTTTTTATTTAAAATTCAAGTAGTTTTAATAGCATTTATTTAAATTAATTTCAGTAACAAAGGGTTAGTCATTTTTACTTGAATATATAATTAAACAATCTCCTTTTTCTAATTAAAAAATTTAGTCTAATTCTGATAAATTTTCAATAATTTCCTTAAATTAAGTTTTATCATTTTCAAATTAATATTAGAAAATTAATGAAAGTTTGGTTTAATTTAAATAAAGGTTGATGTTGTGATTATGCTCAATAAGTTTGAATATTATATTTTATTATTTAATATTCAGATCAATGATTTGAAGTTCTTTTTTAGCGATAGAAAAATCTTTGTATTCTAAATTTAATAATTAACTCTAATCCTTTTGTTATATATAGGAAAATATTTATTCAGCACTAATTTAATTATTCAATTTTTTGAATATAAAAGCTTATCTTTTCTGATCATATTAAAGTATTATTGGAATATCAAAAATAGTTAAATTACATGTTAAATTCAATGTATGAAAATTGTTTTCTTAAATTGATTTCAATTGAAAATTAAAAATTTTAAATATATGCCATTAAGAGTTTATATCTTTTTAAGACTCAATTGAAAATATTTTGAAATTAAAATTCTAATCTAGTATTAATTTACAGTTAATATTTAAATTAATGTCATTAAAAAATTCATATTAAGGTATTCTTAATGAATAGTTTTGATTTAATTTTTCTATTAAATATATCAGATTTATATTTTGTAATTCAAAATCAAATTCTGTTTTATACTTTAATTGAAATAGATCTATATTTATTTTAGTACTCAACTTAATATTGTTAAAAATTTCTAATTCAAATTATATATTTGATTTCTTCTCTATTTGATTTTCTTCAATTAATAAAAATATGAAGAAAATATTTTTCAATTTTATAGCCTAAATACTATTCCACGAAAACATTTTGACTTCATATTTTAGCTCAAATATAGTTTTATTATTATAAAGACCTAGAAAAACTTTAATTTCATCAAGTCTTACATTTTAAAAGCAAATAAAATTCATTTATTAACTAAAAACAGTGGATAAAAAATCTTTTATCTAAAATTTAGGATTTAATTAAAATTTAGCTTCAAGTCCGTTTACTTCTTTATTAAAAACCAGATTAAAAGAACCTAAATTGTAATCTCTAAGTAAACATATTCCTGATATACAACTGTCCATCCAACTTTACTGTTTGTAAACTAACTATCCATTCAAATTTGTTAATGTTATATAATTTTATAGCATTTTACATTAACTGTTTTTTATTTATAATAATATCGAGTGTTGCCACTATGGAGTCTTCTATAGTATTAATAAGAACTCAAAATTTTCAATATTAAACTCTACTTTTTTTTAAGCTAAAGTTATTCCAACACTATTCTTTAAGAATTCATTCAAACAAAAATTCTTTATTGTATGGCAATTAAATTTTAATTAAACGCTTGAATTTTTAGATTCATTAAATGTGTTAGATAAAAATTATAAATAAAAATTGATTTCTTACTTAAAAAAAATGGCTTTCATTTCCAATATTGCTTAAAAATTCTTTAAATTATCAGATGAACTAAATTGTAATTAAATATTTTCTAATGAAAAATCAACAAAATGTTGTTTAATATTTTCTTTGACAACTTTAAACTCTCCATAAAACTGTTGAGATATAATATTGTAATTAAATCTAATAATTTAATCTAATTTAGGAAATAACCCTATTTCTTCAAACTATTATCCAAACAAGCCAAAACCAAAACTAATAGGATGGATCTACATTATTAAAGGTTCATTTTCAATTTTTAAATCTAATGGTCTATTTGGTGTTAGCTACAACTAAAATCTATTTAGCCTCATATTCATAAATTTTACTAAACCCATTAATTTAAGTTCAAATATTTAATTTTTTCCTTCTACATTTAAATTACATTAACAAAGAGTTAAGATTTTGGATACAATCCATGGATTTAATAGATCAACTTTAAATTTCAACTCAACTTAATCACTCCATATTATATAAGATTCCTGAGAACATTTTAATTTCTAAATTATAGCTTCTTACATATTTTATTGCTAATTTAACTTCAATTCTTAATCAATTTTTTTATTTAAATCGGATTAGAAGTTTTCAAATCTTAATTTATATTCATTACAGCCAAATTTTTTGATCTGATGAACTTCATCTTCAAATTATTATTTAAGTTACTCTCCTTATTTCTTAAAATTATCAAAATCGAATAATTATTAAGAACCTTCATTCCTCTAAAATTATATAGTTTTTAACTAATTAAATCCAGATATTATTTATAATTAATTTTTCAAATCACTTGAAAAAGCATTAATAATTTCTTTGAACATTGGTGAATTTTTTCCTCTTTTGAAAATCATCGCAAGACATCTATTCTTTTCTTAAGAAAAGAAAGATAAAAAGTCAAAAACAAGCTCAATTTCAAAAATAAATTTAAGGATTTCAATGGTGCAACTCATAGTATATAAAGTTGCTTAAGAATCAATATGACAAAGTATGTTCATATTTTCAATTTCTATATGAGCATTCTTAAAAATATTTATTTTCCAATTTAATTAAAAAATTAATTCAAAATGCCAATATATAGCATTAGTTATTAAGTCTAATTTCTTTACAGTTGCCTTTCTGCTCTCCTCAAATTGCTAAATAAAGAAATTATTATGATCATAATATTTCAAAAATATTTATTTAATGAAATTTTAACAATTATTTTAATGTTATTCATCAGATAATTGTAATTTTAAATGAGTTTTATCAATTAATGCTGTTAAATTACAAATATTATTTTATAATATTTGAAAAGAACATTAAATACTTCCATTTAAAGTAATTTTTTATTTTAATAAAATATTTGCTAAAATTCTATTTATTCTTATGGAAAATGGTAACTTATAGATTTAAATAGGATTCTCACATTCTAAATTTATTTCTATTCTACTCTCTTTGAGATCTAAAAATGAGGCAAAATTATGAGATTAAATTATCTCAATATTTGAAAAAAAATGGAAACAATTATAATCTTAAAAAATATTTATTTAATCTTCTTTTGGTATTTTTATAATTCCCCTAAGAGAATTTAAATTATCTACCCTACTAAAATGCCCTTTTTTAATAAAATATTTATTTAATTCAAGTTATAAATCAAAATTTATTGAAAATTAAGTAATATAACTATTATCCTTATTTAAAGTGATTTATCCAGATATATTCTTTAATTTAAGATTAGGGATAAAGGATAATATATATTTACTCAAATTAAAATTAAAGAAAATTTCCACTTGTTGATCTAAATAAATTGAGCATTCAATATCAGATTTTGAGAGCATATTTTAAAAAGTCTTAAAAAACTATTCATAAGATGGTCCAATAAGAGATTTAATCATAGGAACTAAAATGAAATCTTTAGATTATTAGAATTAAACTTACAATTTACCTTCAGAATTTAACTTTGCTTCAGCTAAAATATTTTAATCCTCAAAAATGCATTTAGATTTCAATAACAAGTTTTACAATTCTTTGTTATTAATATATATTGATAGAAATAGTGGTTAAATTGTCATAGTTTGTTTGTATAATTAAATAATTAATTCTCCTTTAACTCGAATTTTATAACATCCTAAGTCATATTAATCCTCCTCTTACATATTTACTATCTAAATTTATTAACCTATCCCTTGAATAAATCTTTAATAATTTTAAATTTCTTATTCACTCAAGTGTATTTTTAAAAATTAACTAATATTTTATAAATCTATCGATTTATTGGGTTAATCAACAATCCTTTTTACAGAATTTGAAACTAATTTATTTAAAATTAAATCAGTATATTTTTCCATAATAGAATCAGCAACATTAAGAGATTTTAAATCAAAAATAGGAAAATATGGATTTTTTTTGGATTCATTAAATGCTGGTCCAAAAACAATTTCCATTATTTAATCATAAAATTAAAATCCATTTTATTAAATCATTTTGAATGCTTTTATAATATTTCTTAAATTAATTAAAGCATTTGTATGTTCTTTTATAAAAATGACTTACTTCAATAAATTATTTGCCAAAACAACAGTATCTTATTAAATGAATTATTACCCAAATCCTCTTATTGTTAAAATCTCAATAATATCAATAAAATTATTTTTAAGATCAATTTCAAAATTAATTTTAATACACCTATTATAAAATGCAGGAGACAATTAATTTTAATCAACTCTTGTGGGATTTTATAAACAGATTAAACGAAAATTATTATGAGGAGTTATACAAGTATTAGAATCACCAAATTCATTATTATATAAACGAGGTTAATCTTCTCCTAAAGAATTTAATCTTTCTACTATCTCAGCTCTTGCTAAATTAATATTATCCAGAATCAACCAATATCCAAATTTACAACAAATTTTTAAGACACCCTCCACATATTTCATATTCATCTACTTTTATTATGATCCAACATTCAAATTTCCAAATTTTGATTTTATTGATATCCTCTCTAATTATTTTTAAATTAAATCATAATTAGGGTTGACTAAGGCAAAACTACCAAGCAAATCATCTGTTTCTAAATCGTTATGTATTTGAAGTAAAATGAATCTTTAATTTAAAAGATTTGCCATTTTAATAATACATGAGGTTTTACCTGATGAGACATCCCCTTAACATAATATTATTTTTTTAGAATTTATTGCTATCAATAGCTTCTCAAAAATATTAGAATTTTATAAATTTATAACTAAAGAATTATTGGAAAGTTAAGGTATGATCTAATTAGATATAACCCAATTGAATATAGGTTTAAATTATTTTTCGATTTACCTGCTTATTCTAACTATATTACCGTTTTGCTCTAAAAAAACTTTTCGTTTATTCCATTCCTCTTAACTCACACCAAATTTATTTAATATGATATTTAGCACTTATTTTGAAAATTCTGTCTAATAAAAATGTTATACATATATAATATCTAAACAAACAATTATTAATTCTAATTCATACTTATTATTATATAATTTTGATCTTTACAATAAAAATTGTTAATTGAAAAGTTACAGTAGATTTTCCAAAAATCTAATATTAAAATCATAATTAGATTTGTATTATTATTAAGCTAAAATAGCAAGTTCTTTATGCAATTCTAAAATAATTTTAAAATTAATTCCAGAATTTTATAATTATATTATTTCATTTTTATATCTCTATTAAAATATGCCTATTACCTAATCAGTATCAAATGCTTCAATGTACACTTCACATAATAAATTTGATATACATTAAGGTAATTCTTATCTCCCTTAATATGTAGATGGATTCATCGAACATAAAAATAGGCATTTTTCTTTATTGTATTTGCTATCTTTTATAGTAATTTCTTTTTCATCTGTGTTAAATAGAGCTTGAAGAGTGCTTAAAATTTCAGGAGATGCTAGATTAATTTCATCAAATAAAATTAGGCTATTTTATACTAATGCTTATGCCAAATAACCCTCTTAAAAAACAAATGAAACTTTATTATTTTCTATCTTTGGTGCATAAGAACCGAATAAATCTTCTGCACTCAAAGAATCTGAACAACATACTCTACAGAATTATTATTTCATAATCTTAGCAAATTCTTATGCAATTGCAGATTTTCCTACTCCAGGTGGTCCAATTAGGCAAGGTATATATTATGTAGTAATAGCTGAATATATTCTTTATAAGATTTTATTAGTAGTAGGGTTGATTATAATTTTTGGAGAATTGAAAAACTAATTTTCCTTTAATTTTAAAAAAATTTTATTTTAGGCTTCTTTATAGTGTTCCTGAAGATCAGGATTTTTAACAACTTCTTCAAAATTTACCTTATATTTATCTAAAATAACAAATTAAAATCCTAATGCTAATTTTTATTAATAAGTAGCATCATCTAAATCCAAATTCAAAAAGCTCATCCATTAATAGATTTTACGATCAGATATATTTTAATAGAAAAATTCTTTAAACTCTTTTATTGAAATAAGAAGGTTTTATAGATACTATATGATTTAATTAAATTGAGTTTATTATGGAAATTTATTAAGAATATATTTTTTATAAGAAATATCTAATTCTTATGTATAATTAATAATCTATGGAACTTGAATTTGAACTTTAGTTAATCTTGATTACAATGCATCACTTAATTAACCTCCAAATGTAGTATTCATTATTGCTATAACAAAAAATTCATTATGTAATTTAATTTCTTATCCATTTACTATAAAATGTGGTTCAATTTCCAATAATGAATTTAATCCTTCTATAACAGATTATTCTGCCAAAGATATATTTTTTAAACATACAACTCCACCAAATCTAGCATTAAAAGTCAATCCTCTTTCAACAAAGTGAAATTAATTACCAATATTTTAAATAATATGATTGAAAAACTCCGGTTAATTGTATTTTTATATTAATTCTTATAAATAATTTTATATAGTTTTTTCATTTTGATTAAAAATAATCTATTTTCCATAATTGAGTTTTTTAATTAAATTTATACAATATTATTAATAAGATATTAGATTATGAGACTCCATGCTTCCGATTAAATCTGTAATTTCGGTTTAAGAATTAATATAGATTAATTCAAAAGGTTATGGATTCTAAAATTACACTAATTAAGTAAATAGTTTGGCCAAATATGTTTTTGATGAAGTATCACCAACTATTAAAATATTTTCTTTAAAATAATAACAAAATGCTATTTTACATAATACCAATCTTTAAATAGGGTTTAGATTTTTATGAGCAATTTCATATTTTGAATAATTTTTATTAATTATAAGTGATATTTCAATTTAAGCCTATTGATTTTTAATTGTAAAATATAAGTTTAATCCAATTTTATTTATATTACATTCTAAAGAATATTCTTCAGAAATATCTTTTGGGAAAAGTATCATCTAATGTAATTATAAGATATTTTCCCAATTAGGTTGATTTGTTGAGAAACATGTTTTCTCTAATCGATTTCTAAATCTAATGAATTACCTTAAAGAAAATTAAGTTCCATTATAATTCAATTGTTTTTCATCACCATTTTTAGGATATGGTATTAATTTAGTTAAAAAATATTCCATAGCTTTTTTGATAGAGGTTTAAGTTTAATTTTACATACTAGGTTATGATTCTGAACAGATTTTAAGTACTTCTTCGAAAGTATAATTAGGGACTTCAACTATTATAGTTTTAGAAGCTAAAGTTTCTGGAAGCTAATTTCTACCATTATATGATGGAGGATTTTATGCAAAAAAGATTCTAAATTTTTCATGAACCTTTATAATTTGATTTGAAACAGGATCATGAAATTCTGATGGATATTTTGCTACATTAGCTAAAAAGTTGAGTATACTTGCATCTGATAAATTAGCTTCATCTATAAGAACAATACCACCTTATTCCATACCTAAAAATAATGGACCTTTTTTAAATATAAATTTTATCTTATCTTTTTCACATGTAGATAGAAATTATCCCATTAAATCATTTATATCTGTATTTTAATTCATATTAATATAATGAAAACTAGTTGATTCAAATAATTTACAGGTTTATTAAAATGTAGAAATAATTTTTGTTTTACCAACTCCTGCTGATCCCTATAAAACTAATGGTATTTTAGCAATAATAGCAAATGCAATAATATCTGCAACTCTTTTTCTTGATTCAGTAATAACAAAATTATTTTATTTACCATCATTTAATAATAATTCTTAATAATGAATGGGTACTGCTATATTTTAATTAAAAAGTGATTTATTATCTTGTAAACTTAAGGCTATGAAGAAATCTAAACATTCAAAATTTATTTATGATTATTTTTAATTAAATTAAGATTTACTATATTTCTCACTTTCTAAAATTGGTTTTAAAAATCTGATTATCTTATTAAATGATATTTAATCTATCTATCCTCCTAAATTTTATGAAGTCTTGAAAGATCCCAATGTCATTAGTTTTTCATTAATTTAATTAATATTATGAATACTTTATGATTATCTTATTGATTAAAACAATAAATTAATATCATCTAAATTAACTTTAAAATCAATGTATAAACTTAAGAATCTACTTTTTAAAGTTGGTGTAATTTTTTTTTCTAATTACTGAAAATCAGATGATAAAGCAATAATAGCAAAATCTTAATGTCTTTAATATCTTTTATTTTAAACTAATAATTAATTAAATTTCTTTTCTAAAATTCCATTTAGTGATTCCGTTAAAGCACAATCAGGAGCATCAAAATTTGTGAGAATTAAAACTTTTCCTTAATCGAAACATCTTGTTACAGGTCCTAAAATAAAATCAAAACCATTCTAAGTTGGTTGATACTTTCCAAATAAATCTTCAGTAGTTGTACTAGATGATAATTCTAATACCTCATATTATTAAATATTTAAAATTTTTAGCCAAATAAGAACACTTGATAATTTTCCACAATATTATTATCCCACAATTAATGCTGCTCTTTTAGTTTTATAACACAAAGTTAACATTGGAAACAAATATTTATGAAATGAGAGAAATTTAAGTGGTTAATTTATATTCCAATTTTATATATAAGACTCTCTTTAATCTTTAGTTTAAACAAATAACATATTTGTATTAGCAATAAGTAGATTATTATCAATTTAATAATTAATTATATCACGATATTTTTATAAATAGATGAACTAAGTTGATATTAGTTTCATACAATCACTTAAAGGTAATATTTCAAAGATTTTCTCTTTTGTTTATTCAAGAGATAAAAAATATAGATCAATCATTTATACTATATCTCTTAAAGTAAATAATCCATCATCCATATTTTTCTATTTAATTTCTTCATATATTATCATTATCAAAGAAGATAATTATTAAATAGATATTTCTTGTACTAATTATTCATTTAATTCTTATTACTTCTAATCTATAATTTAATCAATAATGAAATTTAAATCATTCAAACTCATAGGTTCAAATTTAATAGAAATAAATTGACTCATTAATGATGGAGAAAAGATATTTCTAGAAGCTGCAAATTATGAATCTGTTGCAGGATTTTAAGTTAAAAAGAGTTTGAAATTTTAATGTTTTCTTATTGTTAATGTCCCATCAACTAAATCTTCATGAGAATTAATTGAACTACCATATATAGTAATATATCCAATTTCAAGAACATCTTCAATTACTCTAAGAATTGAATCACTTGCCAAATTAGCTTCATCCAAAAGTATCCATAAACCATCTTAGACAGCTTTAGCAAAAGGACCAAGTTAGAATTCAAATTTAAATCCTGGTAAAATTTCAACTTTACCTATAAAGTCAGAAATTTAAGTAAATGAACTAAGATTCATTATTATTAATGGTTATTAATTTTTATAAGCCAAATATTAAATTATTGAAGTTTTGCCACAAGCAGCACTTCCTTCACATAAAATTGGATTATCTCCTTTGAGTGCAGCTTCTAATTACTTTAAATGTTTCTTAACACTTTAAGTTTCAGCATAAGTATCCATCTTTGGAATTAATTCCTTAAATTTTGAATTCTCTTAATAATTAAGATTTAAAATTCTAAAATCTACTAAAGGTAAAAACCGATATAAAAAATTTAGATTTATTATACTTCTAAATTTTGGGCTCAAATTATAAAAATCTGATTCATATTATTGAATCAAAAGTTCAGTTGATTTCACAATATTTGGATCAGTTAAAATACCTTAAATAGCTCTTTTTTTAACCTAAGAAGCTAATGATAAAGTTTATGGTTATTATGATTATGATTATGATAATTATGATTATGATTATCTTATTTAATGATATGCTGGCATTTCTTTTAAGATTAATTGATTTTTATTGTCTAATATTATTAAGTTTTCATTTAAAAGAGAAATATTAAATTATATGATATTTGGAATATTTTGAATTTTTTATGTGATCTAAAAATTGGAATTAATTGAAAAAATATGCAAATTTTAGTTTTAATCAAGTAAAATAAGTGCTTGTTTTTTCTTTTGATATCCAACTTTAATAATACCTTGAGGTGGATTAGATAGATTTTACTGAATTTCTTTTTCTATTCTAAATTCTTCATCAAACTTAGCTAATATTATTATTAAACTATTAGTTTTATATTAAACCATCAAAAAATTATTATCATCTTATTCTTAAATTATTTTACAAGATACACAATTATTAAACTTTTAGACCTCTATCTAATTCTCAATTGCTAGTATTAAACAAACTGAATTATTGTCTTTTTCTTAATATTAACAAAATATTTATGTTAACTTTTTAGAAATTAAAAATCTATTAATTTAATTAAATTCTGCTTATATATTTGTTAAGATTTTATTTAACAAAATATCATATAAGATAATGTATTTTTCAAATATTAATGCACAAATTCTACTGTTGCACCAATCAACCATTCTTAATTTAATAGCTGGAATCTTTATATTTTAAAAAGGAGTAAAAGATTATTCTAAAGTGGCTGAATAAAGTTTAGTCATCTATTCTTGTTCTTATTCTTCAAAAATGAGTAGATTTTATAAATTTGGATCACAGGTTACAGTTTATATATTCTAACTTATTATCATGTACTCCCTAAACAAAAGGAAATCACAATCAAAAATTAGAATTGTTGAATTTGATTTATTTTTTGATAGAATATTAAGCTTAGAACCTGATAGTGATAGTTGTTAAGCATTCAAAACCTAAAATATAGTATTCATTTCTATTTTATAATTAATAATAAAAGATATTTGCAGAAAATTTGAATTAAAATCTATAAAATCATATTTATAAAATTATTTAAACACATATTTAATACATATAAGGGTTGATATATGTATATATCTCATTATTAATTTCTAAAATAGTAAGTGAGATATTTAATTGTTTGATTTATCATATTTAGAATGTTCCTCAAACTTATTATTTTCAATATTTAATATTATTAATTTCATAAATAGAAATTGAAAACTAGAATTATTAATACTATTTTAAATTATGAGAAATATCAAAGACCTATATTATCAATATAAATACATACAAATCTTAGTTAAATACCCTTGTTTGATTTCTTTTTGATATATTATTAAACATATTTGGTGAAATCTATATTAAATCTCATCTTCTTAAATTAATTTAAACCACAAATTACAAGTATTAAAGGACCATTCTACTACACATACTACATTGTTTCAACATAACTAAAAGAATATGAACTTCTTTTATTTAACTAAAGTAATAAATACAAATAACCTATCTCATATTCTATCAAGATTATTTTTATGAAAAATTAATATTAATAATTAATGATTTATTTTATTGATAAGACTTCCATTTTATTAGCTTAAAAGAATATTAAATTCTTCATTTCTTAATAACTTAAATAAATTTCTTTATGAAATTTGTCAACTATATTATATGTAACAAAATAAATAAATTTATCATAACATTTATTTAGTTGACTTTAAATTTATATTAGATTATTTCTAGAATAAGTTTTGCTATTACTTGAAAATTGTGATTTTTTAACATAAATTTAATAGAATTTGATAAATAATATTAAATATAAATATAGAATTAAGAAATTTAAATTAATTACACAAGTAATTCAAGAGTGGATATAAATATCAATAATAATAAGTAATCAATATATTTTAAACTTGAATAATAATTTTTTAATGATACTATTGTATTTTTCTATCAAGTTGATATTTTCTCAAATATCTACAATCTTATACAAAAGTTTTGGGAATAAAAGATTCTTAAAATATACGATTTCTTATATTAAATAGAAATTTTTATAATTATAATTAAACATGTAATATTATATTATGTTTAAATTTAATATAATTTTATAACTTTTATGATATTGAAATAATGTACAATTAAGATTGAAGATGAGTATATAAATAATAAAAAGAATTAAAATATTAAAGATATTATAAATTAATAACAGAATAATAATATAAATATTACTATATATATATATATAAACAATAATTAATTCATTAATAAAGAGAAATTCTATGTTTCTATGATTATTAAATAAATATAATACCAATTATTGAATTTAATTTGCTTGTTATTTAATTAGATTTTCTCCTGATTGAATAGCTTATTATTTTTGCTTTTTTTCATCAATAATTTAAATCATAAATTAGGAGATCTTGTTTTAATAAGAATTTTTTTTATTTTGATGATGTAACATCTCTTGAATTATGTTTTCAATATTATTCATCCTATCTTTTACATCTAGTAAAACAACTTCATTTTAACTATTTAAAGAATTATGTTAAATCTCTTTAAGTATCTATTCACATTCATTTAGTATAGAATTAATGTCTTATGAATCACAATGAGTTTTAACAGAGAATTAACTTTTTTGATGAGGTTAATAAGGAGAGTTTACTTTAGCCGATGGTGAATTTTTACTACTAGAAGATGTACATTTGATCTTCATTTAAATGAAAGTTTGAGATTTAGTCAACTTTGGAGTGAAAGAACAAGAAGGATTGATTTAAATCTCTTATGAGGATCCAAAAGATGGTCTTATTTATCTAATTGCACTCATATAAAATTTAATTATTATTACTGATTCTATTATTTTTTACTTTAAGAATCAAACTTATATATTAATAATAATTTATTACCTTAAATTAACTTAATACTTTATAGAAACTCATTAAATAACAATCCATAGTATACTGAATAGTGAGAATGCAATTTATTTTATAAAGCTCAAATGAATTAAAGCTATTTCAGTGTTAAACTAATTACTTAATAAGAAATTGTTTTTAGAAATATAAATAATCGCGTTTTTATAAATAAACATGAATAAAATTTGAGCCAATTTCTGTGGACAAAACTGCTGTCTAAATTATAAAATAAAACTGCCATAGTTATAAAAAGATCATTATATAACAAAATAATCTAAATAAACATATATTTAACATGTAATTAATATTTCAAACAATTATAGAAATTGTATTATTTATAAGTTATATTATAACAATCATCCTCAACTTAAGTATTTCTACATATAAATATATAGAAAAACATATATAACTTTTTATATCTGCTAAATATTATTAATGTATGAGTATTATTCAAAATATATGTTTAACATATAATTCCATATACTTTTTTATTGTTTAAAATTTAATCCTCTTTTTTATATTGATTTTCTATTTAATCTGATTATATATATATTTATTATTTACACTAACTAAATTTAGTTTATTTACACTGAAATATTCCTATTTTATGTTTTCATAATTATATAATCATATTTATATCTAATTTAATTATAAAAATTAATTAATAAATTACTACTTATAACTTATGAATAGTCTAGTTAAAGAAAGAGATCAATCAGAAATTATGATCTTAAACAATTTAGAAGTTCAATCTTAAATCAGATCTTCAATATTTCAGTCTAAATTATAATAATCAATCTAAAATATTAGACAATTAACTAAACCTATTGCAATGCATATTGAACCTCAGATCTTGCCTCTTAATAAACCAGATTAAGAAACACCTATTAAAAAGTCTTAACATTAAAAATTAAGTTCTGATGGTTATACTACTTAGACTAAGGGAAGTTAAGTATAAAATCAAGTAGATTTTACTCAAAAATTAGTTCAAAATTAATTTGATTTAAGTTATTCTTATAGAAAGAAGGATAATTAAATGATCAAATCAACAGATTATTAGAGAATATTTGAAAATTATCATCATTCTTCAATTGTTTAAATGATAAGTTCATATGAAGAATGTTTTAAAATTTTAGTAGAAAGTAATGATGCATAATTGTTGAGAATCCCTAGTAATTTGATTTTGGCTATTTTAAAAGAAAGAGAGGAATTACAACATTAATGTGTTATGTTAAGAAGAAAACTATATTAATTAGACAGATTATATGAATAATAAGAAAGAGTATAAAAATAATAGAATGAATGATTGATTGATATTATAAATTATTAAAATAATGTAATTCAACTTTTACTTATCAAAATGTATGACAGTCAATGAAAATGGAATTACAGTATTAAATGGAAATTAAAAGCGTAATCCTTAATTAGATGATATTATTACAATAATGGGTGAAGCTTCTGCTATTGTAATTTACATCTATTAATAAATTAGGCATAAAATTTGAAATAAGTTATTACAAGTCCAATTAGATTCTTTTAAACAGATTAAAAAATGTATATTAAATCAGAAGGAAAAGTAATACTGTGAAATATTTGTCAGCATTGTTTAGGGATTCTAAAAATAGGAAGAAAAAATTTATTTTATAGAGATTTAAATGGAGTAATTAAAGAAATCTAACCAATTTGTGTTTTAGATTTTTATGTACATGAATCAGTTCAAAGAAAAGGCATAGGCAAAGAACTTTTTGAAGAAATGTTAAGATAAGAAATGTTGAGACCAGAAAAATTGGGATATGATCGACCTTCACCAAAATTATTGGGATTCCTTAAGAAATACTACAATTTATAAAGTTATATACCTTAAAATAATAATTATGTTATCTATTCCCAATATTTTGATAATAAATAGACTAATATTTCATAATAATAATCTTCATAAAAAAATCATTAATAATTATAAAACCCTTAATTAGTTAATTAGTAAACATAATAATAAAGAGTTTAACCATAATAAACTCCATAGAAAATGGATTAATTGGATTAAATGATGCAATAAATGACTTTAGAATCAAAATAATAATATTAATCATTTTAAAAAAGTAAAGCTTAACCACCTTGGGCAACTGATTAAAAATAATTTCAAAATGTATAATATATAATGATTACATTTTAGATGTATTAAACAACAACTGGACTTATGTCAGCTTAAATTCATAAAAAATGACTAAAATCAATACTATTTGAAACAATTATAAAATAATAATAATAATTTTCAGTTAAATTCTTTTTAATTAAATTTCTTAAATATTTCAATCGGAAATCTTTTTTAGAATTTAATGTAATTGAGTGCTTGATCTTATAAGTAATATATGATTATTATTCGTTTACATACATTCATAAATTTCATTATTTAAAATAATATTTGAATGAAGAAAATAAGTTTATTATTAATATTCATTAAATAAATATTATTTTTTATCTTGATAATTAATATATATTATAATAAAACAGCTCTCAGATACTAATTGCATCAAATAACTCTTGTTTTTTCATTCCTTTATAACACCATACAACATGTATATTAGAATAGAATTCTTGCAATCTCTTAATTCTAACATATTTTAACAAAAATGCTTTGATTGTTTAATTATCAAATTCATCTGGGTACATGAATATATATACTGAATCTCCTATTTTTAAATCAATTAAATTATTATTTTCTATAAAGAAATCTTTGTATTCTACTTTCATATCTCCAATAAAGTAATCCAATGGTAATTCTGTACAAAAGATCTTACCTTATGAATATGCAAGCAATTCTGGATAATATAATCCTAGATCAGATAAGAAATGTTTTTGATATAGTATGTTAATATTCATTTTTTATTATTCCTATTTTTAAGTAGTGAGTAAATAGTTTAATCTTTATAAAACTTCTTATTCATTTGTTATATTCCACTTTTTTATTTTCTGAATAACTAATGTATACACTAATGGTAATGCTTCTGCTAAAGTAATTTATTCTTCTTTTAATGTAGATGTAAAATGTTTATCTATGATATTTT